CATTATTGTTTGATGATAAGCTTATGACCGAGACACATGAACTCCGTACCATGGGTGATTTGCTGATTGTAAATTATGAGTTGCAGGCTGTTGTCATGCACTTCGTTCTTGAGGCGTTGACGTTTAAGCCAACCTCTAGCGAATGTTTGGCCTGTACATTCAGAAAGTTTTGCAAATCAGTTTTAGAGTAAATCATGATAGCCAGATCATCTGCATCGCTAAGGTTTGATACGATATGACCTCCTATTTGATAACCAGGGGAGCATTCCTCTCCAGTTTCATAGATAGGCACGGTTATAACGATACAGAAAAGAAGTGCTGATAGGACGTCTCCCTGCTGGGCCGGGGCGTCTTACCCCCGAAACCACCGACTGGAGCAGTGGGCGTTTTCTGGGGTTCCCATTGTGGACTTTGCCATTTTGATTTCAGCATTATGTTATGGCCAACCGCTATTTTAAAAAGTTATTTTTAAACTGACGTTGTATTGTCAGTCATCAACTAATAATATACACCGCGTATCAGCATGATCGGTGGGGTGTGTATTACGCAGGAATCCCCAATGAGGCTAGAGTCCCAAAATGGGTAGTTTCAGCAGCGGTTATTTTATTATTTTGTTTTTGCTTTTCGTACTTTTTGGTTTTTGTTCTTCCTCAGTTACATTGTCAATCATCAACTATAATTATCGACACAGCCGGTTCTTACTACCCCGAACCTCTCAACCGCGTTGGGGCCCCCATGCCTATGTAAGGGGCAGAAGTGCTAATTTCAGTAGCACTCATTTTTTTTAAATTGTAATTTTTTTTCTGAACAGTTCTTTTAAATCAGTTAAGAGGGCAATATAACACGGTGAAATCATTTTTAGTCCGGGATCATCCACTAAGGAGGATGTCTGATTTTTTTTACTAATATTAATACTAAACAGAGGTTCACAACTAGTCCCAATTTTTTTTTACATTTCTAATAAGATAAAACCCAGAAAATGATCGCTTAAAACATAAAAATGTCTAAAGATTTCAACACATGAAAAATTTTCCAGAAAACTGAAATACTGTTTTAAATCAAATTTTTAAGAGAATCCCGTTTGTGTTGTGTTGGAATCTTTGCAAAACTGTTTCTTACAGCGGAGATTCGTCGGCGATTAATCTTTATGGAAATGTAAAAATTTCCGACTCAAACATAGTTTTTCGAGTAAAATTTAGTCATGAAAATATTAGTGGTTATTACAAAAAGAATAAGATTTTCTCAGATTTTTTGTTATGGGACCTTACCCATAATAACATAATGGACTATTCCATACGTAATAAATATTGCGCCTCAAGAGGAAGCAGAGAGTTCTGTCTGAAGTCGGGCGACCGGCTGATCGGCTGATCGGTTGAACTCTCTGCCTTCGGGCGGGGAGGAACCCGAAGGAAGCTACGCCGAAGGGCGGATTCTCTTTCGGGGAGGTAAACCGACCCTGAACCCGTTTATACGGGTTCAATGGGCATATTTTTGGGCCGGGCCCACGGGTTCGGAGATCCTCCGTTTAAACCGGCCTTGTGCCACATGATACCCTCGTTTTGACTAAATACTGTTCCGTCTGAAGTCTAGAGTTCAGTCTGAAGTCTGGAGTGAAGTCCGTCAGGAGTCAGTCAGTCAGTCAGAGCGAGCAAGTCAGTCAGTCGAGTCAGAGGCAGTCCGAAGCAGAGTCGCGTTCAGACAATTACTACTAAACCTGATTGTTCATACTAACACTTTCTACTTCTCTGTATATATTCCTGTTTGTAATATATCTGTGTTATTCCATATCCGTGTTCGAGTTCTATTTTATTGGTTCTACCTTGGACTATCACCGTGGTACAAGGAACCGGACCATAACATTTTTAAATATAAGAAAACTATTCATTATAAAAGTAAATAATTAATGAATATGTACTGAAATTTTCATTTAAATTGGATAATTCCTTGACTTGGCAATTTAAAAAAAGCGCTGCCCTTCCCCACTCCAATTTTCCTCGAGGGTGTGTGGCCCCCAGGCTGGGAAACTTTGAAATCGACATGTAGTAGATAGGAGGAGGCTTCATATTAAAGTTTCTCTGGGGACGAGACCCTAGCTCAGGCCCTGTCTCTTTGTTTAACTCCATTCAAGATGTCTACGCAAGATCTTTTTTGATATATGCTTTTGAGTTGGTGTAAGTTTCTTTTAGTCGGTTGATGGACTTGTTAATTGTGGTTTTGCTTAAGAGTGCCACATGCTGGGTATTTTCACGCTGTCGAAAGCTTTTGTGAAGTCACTGAAGATGATATGCACAGGTTTGTTGAATTCTATTAACTTCTCAACGATTTGTTTAATAGCTAGGATCTGCTCAAGGGCGACTCTTCCAGGCTGATACGCAGCTTGTTTTTCAGGAAATGAGGCGTAAAGGCTGCAGTGATAATCACGAAAAGCTTGTAAACATGACTCAATAAACTGATAGGGCGATAGTTCTCACAATCAAGTCAACCAGTATTTTTTTATCGTGACCCCACAACTAGGTCCTTTGTCAACCAAGCCTCAGAGAGACTTCACCCAGCCTCATCAAAGGAGGCTATCCCGCGCCACATCTCAACTTGGTACTTTAACATTCCCGATAATTATTATTTCTTAATATAAGTACACTATTGGGGTCTGTCTATAAAGGGAACAGGTTAAAGTCGTTTTGTGCCAGACCCACTTTCCTAAATGAGCAATGGTGAGAGAAAAAAGATCATTAAGGCCTTCAGTAATGCTACAGACATTCATATTCTGGCTTCCATCTTCAAAGTCCATTCAAGAACCATCAAGAGAACAGTGAATAAGTTTTAAAAAGCGGGAACAGTAGAGAGGAAAACTTGAATCAGGAGGTCACAACAGGAAGAGGGGGGTCATCATTTCAACTAAAGAGATTAATTAGAAAAGATCCAACTCAGTCCATAAGACGTTTGGTACGTGAGAGAGGAGTTTCAGCTATGACAGCCCAAAGAACAGTGAAAAAAGACATGAAAATGAAATCGTACGTGAAACGTGTGAGGCAACTTATTACTCCATGACAGAAAGTTAAGAGGTTAGAGTGGGCAAAGATCAATCTCCTGGCCTCAACCCCATAGAAAACTTATGGAGCATGTTGCTCAACTGCTTTCTCGAGAGCCTGTACTTTATAATGCTCCATAAGTTTTCTATGGGATTGAGGTCTAGAGATTGGGGCGCCCATGTCATAACACTCACCTGCTTCTCATCAAAGTATTCCTTCATCAATTTTGATTTGTGACAGGGAACATTATCCTGCATAAAAATGAGCTTGGTGGGGTCGATTTGCACCCTTTCTGCAGAAGGGAGCAGACAAGACTCTAAAATTCTCTTGTACTGATCGCTCCTGAGGGTCTTTTCAATAAGTTTTAAGTAACCAGTTCCATGAAAAGAAAAGCATCCCCAGAACATTATACTGAATGGATGCTTGACAGTACTTACTGCTAAATTCAAACAGCTTTCAAAGCTTCTTCTTCGGATTTTAGATCGCTTATCCTTTGAATTTAGCTCAACTTTCGTTTCAACGGAGAAGAGAACATTTAGTAAAAAAAAAATCAGGTGAGTCACTTTTATCGATCAGCACTATATATATATATATATATATATATATATATATATATATATATATATATATTTATTAAAGACATTTTTATGTTTAACCTTGTTATTTATAGATACAAGTATTTTAAGCAAATGCTCTGTTTGTGATAAACAGTATTAAATAACATTTACCGGCCTGAATGTCCGAGAAATTTTCATAGAAAATATTCGTTCTTTGACAGGATTCTCGGACATTCAGGCCGGTAAATGTTATTTAATACTGTTTATCATAAAACAGAGCATTTGCTTAAATACTTGTATCTATAAATAAAAAACGTTAAACATAAAAAAAATGTCTTTAATAAATCGGATTTGTCGGACTTTATATATATATATTATATATATATATATATATATATATATATATATATATATATAATAACAAATATTGCGTTTCGCAAACGAAAAAAGAGAATGATAATATCTGTTAATAAATTCACTTTGACTACTTAATTCCTGATTAGTGGATAACGTCTGGGAAATTTTAAACCAGTAAGATAAGTTAATTGTCTAGAAATTCAAAGACCATCGCGATTTCAACATGACGTAGCTGATTGGTTAATATATATCTATATAGAAATTCGACAAAAAGTGCAAAAATGAGTCAAATATTGTGTGAGCCGGTGATCTATTGCATTTTTCTCCAGTTCTTTAAAGGGTTATATATATATATATATATATATATATATATATATATATATATATATATATATATATATATATATATCCGGTCAATCGAAAAAGCCATATCTTGAAAAACAAAAAGTAAAAAATGCCTTTAATGATGTCTTTCATTTGTTTGGATTTGTTTGGTCATTGCTGACTCACCTAATGTTTAGTCAGCTTCAGTCGGGCAATTATCTGCTGTAGGTCCATTGTGAACAGACTTGTTGTGTCTCGGGAGATTGTTTTCTGTCTCACTGAAAATATACACAATTCTAAGCCACTAAACATACAATGAATGGCGATCTAGGAAAAAAACATCTGATATAATTGTCTAAGGCTGATGCAAAATACACCAGCGTCTTTTTTTTGGGGGGGGGGCACAAAGTATCGTATGTGGGTTTTTAAAACTTACTGTTAAGCTATTTGTTGCTTCTGCAATCAGCCAATCGTAGTAGGCATTGAACGAACCGCCCACCCGAAACAGAATAAAACTGTGTTGGAATCTTACGCGTACATGGAACTAGGGACAAAAATTGACTCAAACCTTGGCATTTTCACTTTGGTAGCTGGTGGAGATGCCTTAGGCGGCATGATTTACCGCTAGCTCTTCTTGTGAAATGTACTTTTTGTGGGAGATGACCTCTGGATATGGATGCCATAATATTAGTAAATATATGTAAATATGTGGGTCGGTCTTATTCTTCTGCCGTCAGAATATATCTAATTTAAAATAGGAACCCGAAGTGTCGATTAGATTAAGGATAAGAAATCCTGCTTGAAGAAGGTAGAGGTCAACCCACCTACTGAAAAGAAAATGACGCAGAATATGACTCGGAATATGACCCAGAATATAACTCGGAATATGACTCGGAATATGACTCAGAATATGACTCGGAATATGACTCAGAATATGACTCGGAATATGACCCAGAATATAAATCGGAATATGACTCGGAATATGACCCAGAATATGACTCGGAACATGACTCAGAATATGACTCGGAATATGACCCAGAATATAACTCGGAATATGACTCGGAATATGACCCAGAATATGACTCGGAACATGACTCAGAATATGACTCGGAATATGACCCAGAATATAACTCGGAATATGACTCGGAATATGACTCAGAATATGACTCGGAATATGACCCAGAATATGACTCGGAACATGACTCAGAATATGACTCGGAATATGACCCAGAATATGACTCGGAATATGACTCAGAATATGACTCGGAATATGACCCAGAATATAACTCGGAATATGACTCGGAATATGACCCAGAATATGACTCGGAACATGACCCAGAATATGACTCGGAACATGACTCAGAATATGACTCGAATATGACCCAGAATATAACTCGGAATATGACTCAGAATATGACTCAGAATATGACCCAGAATATGAATATGACTCGAATATGACCCAGAATATGACTCGGAACATGACTCAGAATATGACTCAGAATATGACCCAGAATATAACTCGGAATATGACTCAGAATATGACTCGGAATATGACCCAGAATATGACTCAGAATATGACCGGAATATGACCCAGAATATATAACATCAGAATATGACTCGGAATATGACCCAGAATATAACTCGGAATATGACGGAATATAACCCAGAATATGACTCGGAATATGACCCAGAATATAACTCGGAATATGACTCGGAATATGACTCAGAATATGACTCGGAATATGACTCAGAATATGACTCGGAATATGACCCAGAATATGACTCGGAATATGTTCAGAATATGATTCAGAATATGAATAAGAATATGACACTGACTCGAAGACATGATTAAGGAGAAAAACTGCTCAGACTCACTTGGTATTCTCTCTTTTGATTTCGCTTCAAACACTATGAATTAACCCTAGCTCTTACATGGTATTGGATGTTGGACAGTCTCCCATGGACGAGAGAAAAGACTAGAAACATCAGAAATGTAGTTCTGCCGAAGGACACTGAGAATTCCATGGGCAGAGCGAGTAAGCAATAAGGAAGTCCTAAAGCAAATATCAACAGAAGGAACACTTAAATTCAGAATCAGATAAAGACAGTTGAAATTCCCTGAACACGTAATGAGGAAGGAGGGCTTGGAAAAATTAATGTTCACGAAGTATATTGGAGGCAATATGGATAGGGATGTTAGCAAACTTGTGTGAATAGATGGCAGAACGGTGGCCGGGGGTCTTAGCAAAGAGAGAACAAATGCTGAGAGCCACATGAGATAAAAAGTTGTGGAGAGCCATGATCGCCTATGTCCTGCAGGGATGCGGCACAGAGAAGAAGAAGAAGAAGAAGAAGAAGAAGAAGAAGAAGAAGAAGAAAAGAAGAACTCTGTGGGAAACATTTTCTGTATGTGATCGTAAAATAATAAACCCGTATACAAAAATTATCCTTGTGCCAGTGGCGACTCCGGGAGTCGGGCTTAGCCTGAGGCAGTCAACATTCAAGAATTTCTATTTCAAAGCAACAAAAACTTTTCGTAGTGCGTCGTTCTCATTCTTGACTTCATCTGGATCCAAAATTAATTGTTTTAACTCCGTGCCTCAAAGTATTGACCGATATACATTTCGTTGATATTGTTCATAATAAAGAAGAAAGAGAGAAGAAAGAAAAAAACAAAGAAAAACGTAAAAAAAAAGAAGAATGAAACAGAATTAATGTGACTAAACGGGTTGCGTAGGACTGATGCCTATCTGAACTGAACAAAAACTTAAAAAGCAATGCACTTCTTATTTTAATTTTATAAATTATCTCTGATGACTTGTATGACCTGCTTTTCAAAGAACACATTTTTATATCAATTTCTTGCTTTCCAATGTCCGTTTGAAATAATTTATTCTGTACAGTATAATATGCCCTTTCTAAATTGAAGTACAATGCATCTATTGAGAAAGGGCAAATTAAATTTAGCCCGACCCTAATTTCGGCGAAAATCAAAGAATGTGACCGGGGTAGTGTTGAGGAAATATGATAGCAACCACGATTACTGACCCAATAACGTATAATAAATTAAACTAAAATTTCACCGAGAGATATATAAACACATTAACGCATAGATATATATACAAATACACACTCGAGATAGATACACACATTATAAAAAAAAACCAAAAAACAAGAACATATCTGGTTTTGTCTTTTATTTCTTTTATTATAATGTGTCTGAAGAATTTTTTTAAAATAATTTTTATTTTTATAGAATTTTTATAATTAATATTAAAATAGCATAACATTTTAAAAATTATATATTTTAGAGTAAAATTTTGGCATCTAAGTTATACCAACAGTATATTTTGTTAAAGATTGTAACGAATCCGACAAATATTGATGGTCTAGAGTCGCCACTGCCTTGTGTCCAAATTAACAGAATATTCTAAAAGACATAGTTTTAAAATGGGAGGTCAAAGCGTACATGATATTAGAGACAAACTCTCAGCTTCTCAGGACTTTCTTCTTTTGGGGATGCCTAAAAAGCTAAGGATTAATTCTAACCCTTCCTCTTGAGAGAGATATTGCTTAGCGGTCACAACCCTGAAGCTGAGGATATACTTTAATGTTAACCCTAGTGGTGTTTTGGCTGGGCCAGTCAATTGTAGTATGTCCCGTAAAATCTTAGAAGAAAAAAAGAAAAGAAAAGAAAAAGAAGGCAATATCTTCCACATGACATCGATCTTGAGTAGTGACATCAATCCTTGCTAGGTGCCCCATAATTGTGGCCTTATGCCAAAACTATATTAAACTTAGTAAATACTAACAATGGATAGCGGCTCGCATTGCGGAATCGGGGAGCAGAGTTCGAATTCCAGTCGAATCCATTACATTCACTTACGTGCTAATACCCTTGTGAGAGGTACGACTTCTCTTCTTCTCCCTCTAGCTATGGGAAAATAACAGGACAGACCGGGTTCTATAGCCTTGGATGGCAACTGGCCTAACGCAGAAAGAAATGGCAACGTACTGCGGGGGAAAAATTGCCTCGTCAGTCATGTATCGAAATAATAACTCGTTTTGTAATGGGCATCAACGCGAAAAGTAGCAGAGACACTTTTCTTAGAAAAGGCATGAACCCATCCTTTTTGTATCAAGCTATAGCTAAATTATAAAATGAATCAAAATTAGCGCCCGATTTTCTCTCTTTATGGCCATCATGTCAATAGTCCTTTGCTTCTAGTATTACAGTGTACAAGAATGCAAAGGTTCTAATACATACATATATATATATATATATATATATGTGTGTGTGTGTGTGTGTGTATGCAAGGTGCGATGGATAAATTCTCGTCTACATTTCGGAAAAATAAAAATAACACTGACATTTCATTTTAACAGATATATTTACCAAAATTACACAAAAATATCTTAAAATACTAAAGAGTAGATTTATTCAATAAAATCGCCATTGTCATTTCGACGAATTTGGAATCTCCTGCAAATCTTCTGGACGGTCTCCTTGTTTAAGTTGTTGAATGCTGTCATAATGGTTGCCTTCAGTTCATCTTTGGTGTCTCTTCTTCTCCCCTCCCACCAGGTATGAGTAAATAGCAGGACAGACCGAGTTCTATAGCCTTGGATAGCAACTGGTCTACCGCAGGAAGAAATGGCAACCTACTGCGAGGAAAAAAAAATTCTGTCTCGTCTCGAAAGATACATGATCGCCTAAGCATGTATCATGCATGGCACATGAATGACTAAGTGAAGAAAAAGGAAAATTCTAGCAATAGAATTTGGTGATGGGAAAAGAAAAAAAATTCTTGCAATAGATTTTAGTAGTAAAAGAGAAAAAGTTCCAGCAATGGATTTTTAAAACGAAAAAATTACCAAAGCTAGCATGAAAATTAAATTTCGGCAGCAAATGACCCATAAGGAGTTGATGTGCCGTTGAATAAACAAACACTTAACGAATACGTATTCTTTACAAAGAATAAAAATGACAATTCTTGTTATGGACGAACGCATGTTTTTATTTTATTTTATTGTTCTGAGTTAAAATTCCCAACATTTATTTCCACCTTGCTGACATTACCTGGACAGGATGCACTAAACGCCAAGGCTTACGGCCACGTCACGTTGAAAGACCGTTAAGTGGCGCCGAACCCGGTCAGTACCTAGATGGGTGACCCCTTGGTAGTATCATGTGCTGTAAGCTTGGATGTGCGGGTGGTGTAACTGATAACAACTCGGAATTCGAAATCGGAGAGTCGAGTTCCAATTTCAGCTGGGTTCGTTATTTCACGCGCAGTTTACCCTTGCGAAAGGTATAAAGCCAACAGTTCCCCCAGCTATGGGTAAATTAGTAAGACTAAACCATTATTATTAATTGCGTGCGAAATATTTAGATTTCGGCATTAAATAACCCATAGAAGTTGGTTTGTCGCTAAGCAAAAACAACCTGTCAACCAGACGCCAGACAGATCCGTTTAGGTTTGTTGGTGTAGCTGTATAGAACACCAGCAATTAACAGGTTGTTCCAAGCCTCTGAAAACCTCCTGATCATAAGCCTTGTTGTTGGACGTAGTTTCTCGTCTTACCCAGGACGCGGATGTAGTGTATTGTCATACCCAGGACTGATATTTGTCTGGCGACATCTTCATCGAGAATCGAATAATAACTTCATCGAATGGTTCACTTCACATAAAAATCCAATCATAGAAGGCTTACGTCCATATCATGTGGAAACACTGGTTCCCGTACAATCACCGAAGTTAAGCAATGTCGCGCCTGGTCAATACCTAGAAGGGTAACTCCGTAACTCCTTAGGAATGCCAGATTCTGCAAATTTGTATGTGAAAGTGGCGTAATAGATAATGGTTCGTAATTGTTAATCGGATAGCGGAGTTCCAATTCCAGTCGGGTTCATTATATTCGCTTAAACGCATATAAAGGTATGAATCCAGAATCTACTGAATTGGCAAAAGGTATTAATCCGCCTCTTCTCCCCCATCTATGAGTTAATTAGTAAGACTTGGATCACTAAAATCATTATTATCTCAAAAAATAAATAAAATAAAATAAAAATGCGTTCAAAATATTTAGATTCCGGCATTTAATAACCCATAGAAATTGATATGCCGAACGCATTTAGGGGATATATTTAAGTAGGTTACACTATTTACAATGTTCGGGCTGTTGTCCTAATCTTCATTGTCATATTCACGACGTTTCGGCCGTCATACGCTCCGGCTTTCTTCAGGTGCCTGGAATTTCTAATCGAACCCTTTATAGAACAATCTATCTTGTGGGCGAAATAAAGGGTTCGGATCGAAATTCAAATCACCTGAAGAAGTCCAAACATGGAAGCCTTACGTCCATATCATGTTGAAACCCCAGTTTTCGTACGATCACCGAAGTTAAGCAATGTCGAGCCTGGTCAGTAACTAGAAAGGTGACTGCTTGGGAATACCAGATGCTGTAAGCCTGTGTATGAATGTGGTGTAATGGATGATAGTTCAGAATTGTTAATCGGATAGTGGAGTTTCAATTCCAGTCGGGTTCATTATATTCGCTTACACGCATATAAAGGTATGAATCCAGAATCTACTGAATTGCCAAAAGGTATTAACCCGCCTCTTCTCCCCCATCTATGAGTTAATTAGTAAGACTTGGATCACTAAAATCATTATTATCTCAAAAAATAAATAAAATAAAATAAAAATGCGTTCAAAATATTTACATTTCGGCATTTAATAACCTATCGAAGTTGATATGCCGCAAAACAAAAACAACGAAGCAACAAAAAAAAAATTAAAGGGAGATAACTATTATATCTGAATAGTGCTTTTCTCAAATTATCTATATATAGGTTTGTTGGTTTAGTTTGATTTGTTTTACGACATATCAACCTCAATGGGTTATTTATTGCTGGTAATATTTTTTTTTGTTTTCAAAAATGTATTTCTGGTAATATTTTTTCGTCAAAAAAAAATCTATTGCTGGTAATATCTTTTTTACAAAGTATTTCTAGTATAAAAACATTTTTTTTCACTTTCATAGTGTTTTTACCCCAGTTTGGCGGTTAACTATTTACCCATAGCTGGGGCCCACGCAGGTGCTACCACTCCGGGTCAGGGTGGACCTGGGAACACCAGCAATTAAGAGGTGGTTCCACGTTCCTGAAAACCTCCTGATCAGAGCTCTTAGCTGTTAGACGTAGTTTATCGTCTTACCCAGGATGCGGATGTAGTTTATCGTCATACTCAGGACGCGGATGTAATTTATTGTCATACCCAGTACGCCATGTAGGTGCTAGGTATATGTCCTGGGAGCCAAGAACGCGTCAGCTAGAAACAATTTAGGCACTACTGGTTTAGGCGATCATTACCTCAGGAAGCCCTACAATTCGGCCATGTTTAGATTAAGATAAGCTTGCTAAAAAGCTAGAAGGTACGCTGTAGTGTACTGAGTAACGCGCTAATAGAGCATTATTAGTGGCTAGTAACATCCACCATTACTCAGCGCAATATATTTACGGCCTTGTGTCGGACTAGTCATTAACTTAAAAGGTAGGTTACAGGCAAGAATTGAAAAGTTCGTGTCTGGAATGGCGTTGATGAAATGAGGGTGTGACGAGTGAAAAGCGAAAACTCCTTTCTTCCCGCGTTTTGATGGAGATCAACGAAGAGGGTCAAGGGAAAAGTCGGGAGGTCGGCAATAAGACGGGGTGCGGCGGGCGGCCGAGGGTTGAGGAAAGTACGATGGGTGAGTGGTTACTGACGGCTCGAGTGGGGATGGGGTGTCATAGTTGGAGCAACATAATTGAAGAACGAGGGAAAGAAAAAAAGAAAGGGAGATGAGAAAGAAGAAAAAGAAGGAAAGGAGGAAGAAAAGAAAAAAAAGAAAGGTAATAGGGAAGAAAAAGAAGTAAATACATAGAAAAATTAGAAAATTGGAGAAAATACTATGTAAAATGAATGAAATAGAAAGAAAAGAAGAAAGAAAAAGAAAATAAAAGGAAGAAGGAAATAGAAAGAAAGAAAATTGGAAGAGAAGAGAAACGGAAAAGAAAATTAAAATAAAAATAGGAGAAGAATAAATAAAAGAAAAATAGAAAAAAGAAAAGGAAGGAGAACAAGAAAGAAAATAGAAAGACACGAATTAAGAAAAGGAAAGAAAAAAGAAAGAAAGAAAGAGGGGGAAGGAGTAAAAGAAAGAAAATATGAAGAAAGGAAAGGAAAAAGAAGTAGAAAAAAAAGAAAAGGAGGTAGAAAAAAAAGGAGAGGTCAGGAGGTCAGTAATAAGGGCGGAAGGCGAAAGATGATGGGGGGACAGTAAGTTGAAAAAAAGAAAAGGAAAGAGAAAAAGTGATAAAAAGAAAATGTGGTGGAGAAAAAAACAAATAAGAAAACAAGAAAATAAATTAGAAAGAAGAAACAAAATGAGGAAGAAAAGAAAGAAAATAGAAAGGAAAGAAAGACAGAAAGAAAGAAAAAGAAGAAAATAGAAAGAAAATAAAGAAAGAAAATAGAAAGAAAGAAAGAATGTAAAAGAAAGGAAAAGAAAGAAAATAGAAAGAAAGAAAGAAAGAAAGAAAGAAAAAGAAGAAAATAGAAAGAAAAGAAACAAAGAAAGAAAAAGAAGCAGAAAATAGAAAGAAAGGAAAGAAAGAAAAAGGAAAGAAAGAAAGAATGGAAAAGAAAGAAAAAATGATAAAGAAAACTATAGACTGCTGCATAAGAAAGAAAGAACGAAAAGAAGGGAAAGAAAGAAAATTAAAGAAATGATCAAGTTTTGGATAAGAAAGAAATAAAGAAAGAAAGAAAGAAAGAAAGAAAGAAAGAAAGAAAGAAAGAAAGAAAGAAAGAAAGAAAGAATGTAAAAGAAAGGAAAAAGAATGAAAAAATGATAAAGAAAACTATAGACTTCTGCAAAAGAAAGGAAGAACGAAAAGAAGGGAAAGAAAGAAAATTAAAGAAAAGATCAAGTTCTGGATAAGAAAGAAAGAAAGAAAGAAAGAAAGAAAGAAAGAAAGAAAGAAAGGAAAAAGAAAGAAAAAATGATAAAGAAAACTATAGACTTCTGCATAAGAAAGAAAGAACGAAAAGAAGGGAAAGAAAGCAAAGGAAAGAAAAGAAAGAAAGAAAGAAAGAAAGAAACAAAAAAGAAAACGACAAACATAAGTAATAAAGAGATAATGAGAAACGTAAAAAGCAGCCTGAGGAAGCAAAGGAAATACCAAAGAAAGAAACAAAGCAAAGGCAATAGCAAAGAAAGAAAAAAAGAAAGAAAGAAGGAAAGAAAAGAGGTAGAAAAAACAACAGAAAAATAAAAAACGAAAATAAAGTATTTTCATATGTCGAAATAAAGAGAAAGAGCAAAAGAAATAAAGATTGATGGATTCGTTTTTTACGTTTTATCAACCATTTTCAGGTTATTCAAAACGAGAAAAGATTTTTAGATTTTAAGAATTTTTTTTGAGATAATAAAGATTTAGTGACACAAGGCTTATTAATAATCCATAGCTGGAGACAGAAGAGATGGATTCGTACCTTCCCCAAGAGTATTTGTGAACCCAAGTGGAATTCGAACTTGGGTCTCCGGTTAACTATTCTGTGTCATTATCCATTACACCACCCGCACAGTTTACAGCACCTGGTATTCCCAAGCAGTCACCCGCCTAGGTATTTGTTCGGCTCGATGTTGCTTAACTCGGATTATCGTTCAAGAGCAGGTGTTTCAATGCTATATAGAGGTAAGTGTAGGAAATAAAGAAAGAAGGTAAGATAAATTAGAAAGTAAAAAGAGCAAAACAGAAAGACGCGAGAGAAATAGATAAAGGCGACAATAAAAGAGAAAAAAAGAAGCAGCTAAGAAAGGAAAGGAAGGAAAAATAGCGTGGATAGGGAGGAAAAAAGAGAAAACAAGAAAGAAAGAAAGAAAGAATTATAGAAAGAAGACTGAAAAGCAAGAGAAATAAAAAAGAAAAGGAAAGAAAATTCAGAAAAAGTTGTTTTGAAGGAAAACAAATGAAAAAAGAGAAGGGGAAGGAGATTAAAAAAGTAATACGATTGAAGAAAGAGACAAAGAAAAACAATGAAAATTATGATAAAGAATAAAGATAGTCTAAGAAGAATATGAAAAAATAAAATGAAGGAAAGAAAAGGGTAAGGCAGATAATAAGAAAGAAAGAAAGAAAGAAACGAAGAAATGAAGTAAGAAAAACGAAACAACAAAAAGGAAGTAAAAATGATAAACAAACAAAAAAGAAAGAAAACGAAAAGTGAAGGAAAATCTAAAATTGAAGAAAGAAAGAAAGAATGAAAAGAAATGAAATAAAGAAGGAAAGAAAGAAAGAAAGAAAGAAAGAATAAATGAAATAAAGAAGGAAAGAAAGAAAGAAAGAAAGAATAAATGAAATAAAGAAGGAAAGTAAGAAAGAATAAATGAAATAAAGAAGGAAAGAAAGAAAGAAAAAAAAAGAGAAGAATTGAAATAAAAAAGGAAAGAAAGAAAGAAAGAATAAATGAAATAAAGAAGGAAAGTAAGAAAGAAGAAATGAAATAAAGAAGGAAAGAAAGAAAGAAGAAATGAAATAAAAAAGGAAAGAAAGAAAGAAGAAATGAAATAAAGAAGGAAAGAAAGAAAGAAAGAAAGAAAGAGAGAAGAAATGAAATAAAAAGGAGAGAAAGAAAGAAGAAATGAAATAAAGAAGGAAAGAAAGAAAGAGAGAAGAAATGAAATAAAGAAGGAAAGAAAGAAAGAGAGAAGAAATGAAATAAAAAAGGAAAGAAAGAAAGAAGAAATGAAATAAAGAAGGAAAGAAAGAAAGAGAGAAGAAATGAAATAAAGAAGAAATAAAATAAAGAAGCAAAGAAAGAAAGAAAGAAAGAAGAAATGAAATAAAGGAAAGAAAGAAAGAAAGAAAGAGAGAAAGAAATAAACAAGGAAAGAAAGAAAGAAGAAAAGAAAAAAGAAGGAAAGAAAGAAAGAATGAATAGATGAAATGAAATAAAGAAAGGTAGCAAATACAGGAAAAAAAAAGATGAAAATAAAAATATACCAGAAAAAGAAATAAAAAATGAACAAACTTTCCCTCATAAGAAAAAGAAAAAGTCATCCCCACCCCCAAAAAAAAAACAAAAACAAAAAGGAAAAACGAAAGAAAACAAAAAAAGAAACAAAATTTTTTAAAAAGATAGAAAGAAAATGAAAAAAAGAAACAAACAAAAAAGAAAAAGAAAAAATATACATGGAAAAGAAAGTAGACAAAAAAATGAAAAAAGAAAGACATGAAGAAAGAAAACGTAAAAGAAAGAAAACGAAAAAAAAAGAAGGAAAATGTCGAAAAAAAGAAAGAAAGAAAACCTAAAAAGAAAGTAAGGAAAAAGAAACAGCGAATCTGAAGGCAAATGCCCGAGGAAAGACTGTTCACTGCAATAAGAGGTATATCAACAACTCGATATTAGCGTTGATGTCACTGCCGAAAATAGAGAGTTTAGATCATTCTAAAGGTTTCTAAGGGTTTATGACAGCAGCGGTGCAATGGGCCTCTCTCTCTCTCTCTCTCTCTCTCTCTCTCTCTCTCTCTCTCTCTCTCATCGTCTCCTGTTTCTCACCTCTTCTCTGTCTACTCCGCCCGCGGCTAATGACAAACCAGCCTTGCCTCCGTTATTTTTATTTTTGTTGTTGTTCAACTCTTCCATCCGCTGTGTGTGTCGGCATCATCGCCTATGAAGTTGGCTCCGGGCCGGTGTTGTCAGATATTCGGTTTGGATAAATCAGCCCGTGTGGGAAGTACTTATTTTTTTTTTTTTTTTCGGGGCGAAATTTCACTGGAAAGTTTGCCGTTTCGACCCTTTCAGTCCCCCGCTGACCTTCGCCAGAAAATTGATAGAACTAAGAAAGATGTCTAAACTAATCAGTTAAAACTACATGAAGGCGGTTATCAACAGAACATTTCCTTTACACTCAACACGGTTTATTTTTTTATTACTCAAATTCCCCAACAGACAAGTCTCGTGAGCTATTCAAGATTGAAGGGTAATGAATGAGATGTCCAATATGTGAAGCTTATGAATTGAAGAAAAATAGATAAAGAAAAAACACTCACTTGTAGAGATTAAGTGCCCAGGGAAGCACCCACACAGGAGTCTGTTCCATAAAGTGGCTGTTATTGGAAAAAAAGCTGAGAGGATCTTCATATAGTTTTTTCTTTAAACTTCTTGAGGTTTCTCCAATGTATTATTTCTGGCAATTCCTACACTTGATAGAGTAAATACCTCCTTCAAGTTCTCGCTGGTTGCTTTGTTTTTTATTCATTAAGTATTTGATTGTTTTTGAATATAAACACAAAAGGAACATTAAAAAAACACAGAGCCCATTTGTTGTTCATCGTAACGAAACTAACCCAATTTTGATCTAGGAAATGCTTATTTGATTAATATTGAAAATAATCCACGAAGACGAAAATATCTGGAAAGTGCCTTGTTCGCTAGTTCAGCCACAATAAATTTACGCCCATGCACTTAAAATATATTACCATTCTTGGTAGAGTTTATATTGCCAAAGTGCGCGATAGTCAGGGTTAAAGGTGATGGAGAGAAAAAGAAAAAGAATGCAGATGAATTTGGCTAGATTGAAAAAAATTCTTTATAAAATATATATATATATATATATATATATATATATATATATATATTCTTTCTAAAATTTTCAAACTACCAGCATCTCTCATTTCGTGCGCATGTATAGACGTGGCGCATGTGTAGACAGTAACAAAACTCAGTCAATGAGATCCTAACGGATGAAACGCGTCACAAAAACTTTTTCCCAATTTGTTATACTATATTCTCTTTTCTCTCTCTCTCTCTCTCTCTCTCTATATATATATATATATATATATATATATATATATATATATATATATATATATATATATACAAATATAGGTAACTATACTAGTCTCGAGAAACCTTTGAATTTTTGATTTGCCGATAATCAAATAAATCACGAAAAAAAAAAAGTTTTTAAAAAAGAAAGAGCTAGAAACATCAAAGTCTGTCGAAAAAAAGTCTGTCGAGTAAACAACTAACTAAAAAGAGCTCAATAGAACCGTAGAGCAGACCTAGATAAACCTATATATATATATATATATATATATATATATATATTTCTGTTTATACGTTATTTTTATAGATACAAATATTTAAGTAAATGCTCTGTTTATTAAAAAAAAACCGTATTAACTACATTTACCAGCCGAGAAATTTCATACAAAATATGTATCCTGAAACCTACACGGAATCCGCCTTATAAACCAGCGATTTTATCCACTGGGCCACTTGATTTCCTGTTACCTTAGAGCATTAAATCTAACCTAACTTAGGTTGCAACTATAAATACTGTCTGTCATGTTTTGACTGTTGCTGCTACTCATCTATCCACTAGGCCACTGTCCTGTGGGACAATTTGCTGTAGTTTTCTTTTAGTTGAAATTCTTTTTCTTAACCTATAATTAATTATATCGGTTTAAAGACAGTTATAGACAATACTGGATTTTACGGACGACAATAATTAGTTAATTTGGCACAAATTCAAAAGTATAAGGTATTTAGTGAGGATCGAAAACACAACAGATTGTAATGGTCAATTGAATGATGGGGAAAGGGTTATATAATTGGGTTTCGCAACATCAGAAAACCAGAGAGACCAGGGCAACTGAATATTATTTTAAAATTATGCGCCCCTTCAAATGGAACTGTTCTCTCTTAATCGTCTGAGAATACCATTTTTACCTTCCATGGCTGATGCTAACCTCCATCTTCTAGGAATACCATTTTTCGCTGAGATAAAGTTGAAAGTTGATATTGAATCAGTTTTTAGGTCTGCTGTTCGAAAAGTTTGTTCCCTGTGTTGTGCTACGCAATTTTTGTCGACAGAATCTATCTTACATATTCATAAGTCTACCATTCGTCCATGCTTTGAATATAGTTGCCACAACTGGTCCGGTGCTCCTGCTATATATTTAAAGATTCTTGATAAAATCCAAAGAAAAATCTGCAATATTATTGTTCCTGACCTGGCATCTCGGCTTCAGTCATTTTCCCAACGCTGTAACGTAGCTTCCCTCTGCCTTTTCTACAAATACTTTCATAGGAATTGTTCTGATGAACTTTCCA